CGGTATAACTCGCTCGAATCGGCATCAAGACCCGTCAACAGATCCGGGTCGCTACTCGTCGGGAGCATCAGCAGTGCCGAGGACTCGCTGAGTGTCTCCAGTGGTCGTCGAGTAGACGCTGACTCTGCAGTCGAAGCCTCTTCGTCGCCTGCAGGTGGTTCTTCGGGCTCTCCTTGCTCTTTACCTTGTTCCTGATCCTTCGAATCGTTTTCTTCCAATGGCTGGAGACTGGAATTCAACATACTTAACGGGAACTCAGTCTTCATGGGTACACCAGAACTCTGCAGACTGTTGCTGTGCTCCAAGCTGTTGTGTCCGCTACGTGCGATCATGTGGTGCTGCTGTTCCTTGTCACGTACGTAACCCCACAGCACGACGATATATGTACCCATAAGCAACACGAGCACGGCAGCACTCTGCGTCGTGGTGCCACGTTCGAGAATGAAGCCACTCATGGCACCTTGATACAGTAACAGACTCACACACGTCGCATGGGTGGCAGTGCGCGCGATGCTACCGCGTCCTTTGATGCGACGTCGTACATTCAGGAGCGAGTACTTGTCCACACCGTGTTGCATCACAAAGTAGAGTGTGCCTAGAGGTAGAATCAACGGCACGACGGTGCTGAACATGAGCACTACAGTCAGCGTACTGATCTGCATGGCCGACTGTGTACCGGTATAGAACAGATCCGCCTCCACAGCTTGCACCTGTTCCCTTGGGGTCAATGCACGCGGCTTGGCCCATGCGAATTTAACGTACTCAGTGGCACGTAGCAGCACCAGAGCAGTCCCGAGGAAGCAGCGCTGGAGAATGTAGTCCACGTAGAATATCCCGGAGTTGTGCAGGAACAACGTACCCAGCATACCCAGCACCTCGCCATCATCCTCTAGATACAGCAACACGGCGTCGATGGACATGAACGCCAGACTGGGGACGAAGATGGTGTTGAAGATCAAGTACACGGAAGCTGTACGTAGGATCAAGCGTTCCTTCGCTGAGTCTGTCGATATAGGCTGGATACGACCGGCGATCTGAAGTACATTCAACAGCACTGCGTTGATCATCACCAGGATGAGAGTTGGGATGTAGTTGGCAAGTAGTTTGGCCATACGAGGCGACACCTTCCTCAGTAGATCACCCAGTTGAGCCACAAGGTCCGACAACGACTGAGCCGCCCCGGTAGAGTACGAAGAGCTGCTGGAAATGGCTGAAGTCACTGCAATTGGAGACGTGAACAGTAGCAGAACCACGAGGATGCAGACGTTCACTAGCAACACCACAACTGTGCGCTTAGCGAACGGGAAGGACACGCTCTGCCAGTCAATATCATCGGGTTCAGGTGCTGCTTCCAGATGCCATCGAGTCAGTCCCAGTTCACGCACATACCGCACCAGTCGAGGCTGTGAATGCTCCGGGAATCTAGCCAAGATGGACGTGATACTTTGGTTCCTAACGCGACGGACGAAGCGAGCACGCAGTCTGGCGGACTTGAAGATGACGAACGCGCGTCCTGCTCCTTTGTTCTCATGTAAAATACGAGACAGACATGTCATTTCCTTCTCTCGAAGTTTCTTGATGTGGTTGGCAAGCTGCTCCTCTTGTTCCTCCATTGGAACAGGCTTCGCGCACCATCTGAAGCAGCAGAACAAATTGGTAAACACCAATCGAAGCGACGGGATCATCACGCCGCCAGGTAATAAACGCAGCGACCACGACGGCTTCTCCCCATTAAGTTCGCGTTGGTGTAGGATCTTCATACGAGCCAAATCCGTCTCTTCTTGACGACGACGAGCTTGTAGACTGTGGAACTCGGCCAGATTAAACACTACACTCACATCCTCCACATAGCCAGGAAAGACCTCATCCAATAGACGTAACATGCGCTGTTCACGGAGGTTCTTGGGTACTCCGCGGTCCACAAACAGCGATCGGTTGCTTAACGAAGATGGCTGCATTCCGATAAGATGGGTACGCTCCGGAGTCTTGTCCAATGTAGCCATCTCCTTGTCTTTACCCAGCAGAGGTTGTTTCTCCGGATCCTCTGCCTCTGTCTTCGCCTTACCTGGCGATACAATGACTTCTGGCGTAACTGTGTCCTCTGCAGCATTAACACTCTTCTCTTCTCCCGCTGTCTGGCCCGCAGTGGCTACACTGGTGCCATTCGACATAATGGACGACGAGCGTTGTGTTAACCCTGCCAGTTTGTGGTCTCGTCTCGGGTTATGAGTGGGGATTGTAGCCAATGCACTGAGTTGTCTGTAGTACAGTAGAAACGCAATTGTTGTCAAGTAACACATGACTACCGGTACCCACAGATACGGGGACTCGTGCGGCATGACTCGGATCGTGGCATGAGCGAAAGACCACCACTTCGTATCATCCTCTTGAGCTGCACTGCCGCTTGTCATTTCACTGGCAGCATCGTCCACCGCGTAGAGGTCTGTGGCTCCATCAGTCGAGCCTTGTGCGATGGCTTCAATCCCCTTGACTGCGGCCTCTGCTGCTGCTTCCACTTGTTGCATGGCGTTGGCTCCAATAGTGAGATAAAGAGGAAGTAAAACTACCATAGCGAATACACTGAGAACACCCAGGAAACGCGCCGTGTACTGCTGGTAGAGCAGGTAGAACGTGCCCTCGGGACCCAGTCGCATCTCCACGTCCGTGTCTCTAATGGGAGTGCGCCACAGGAGATCGCCCCACTTCTTAAGTGTAAACTGAGCGGCTTCTTGCGCTCTGGCCGATAAAATGGAGCTGGACCCGAAGCGGAAGAGGCTGAAGCGCGTGCTGCGTGCGCCTCTTTGGAAGATGGCAAGCGCCACGAGGAACATGACGCCGTTGAAGCCCAGCACGAAGCCCATACCTTGCCAGCCCATGGCTGCGTCCTTCGCCACAGTCGCATTGTAGTCCACGTGCCAGATGTTGTTGGACGGCGCGTGGGACGCCTCCGCGAGCGGAGAGTCCTCCATAGCACCTTGCCCACGACTGGGATTTGAATATGGAGGGACTGGGCGGTCCTGATTCGGTCGGCGCATACGAAAATATAGTCAATCGGATTGGACGGGCACTACAATAACAAGTAGAGTGCTTTTATGCATAATACTAGTTATTCATTGATAGAGTCAAATGTACTACGGAGGATGCTATGAGCACTTTTCCGACATTATTTCTCAGAGGGAACAAGACGAACATCCTGTCAATCAGCTAGTTTAGACTTTAACGTGGCACTCCAAGCAGTTCTACTTGTTAGCTAGTTGCTACGTTATCATCCTGCTTGTTATTCCAACCCTTGCGTATCTGATTGCTTTTACAGCACCTTCTTGTTCAGCGCACGTGCCGTCTGGTGGATGATCTGGTCGACGATGCCGATGACCGTGAAGACGCCGCCGATGATGGCGCAGGCCGACGTGACGAAGTGGTAGAACGGCACCGAGTCCTCTGAGATACGCACCGACATGGGCGACAGATCGTAGCGGAACATAATGGACGGCAGGTCGTCCGTCTCCAGATACTCGTTCGAGTGCGCCGTGTACTTGTACACGTTGATCTCCGAGCCGTCGCTCTGCACATACGAGTTGGTCACCACCTTGATGTAGTGCACGTACGTGTGGTTCTTGTAAAACGACGTGAAGTCCTGATTGTCCAAGCGATGCGTGTACAGCTGCGTCTGTGCGTCACGTGGCAATCTCGACATGTCGCCGGGTGCCAAGTGCTCGCCGAACCACAACTCGCTGACTGTGTGCGACGCGTTCACCAGCGACGAGTCCATCGAGTACGCCGGGTTCGCCAAGTGGATGTGGAAGTTACCGGGCACACGCTTGACGTACAAGTGTCCATACAGACGGCAACCTTCGGGTCCGACAGCGGAGCGAGCAATTGCGCGTCCCTGTTCACGTGCATCCTTCTTGTCCTGTTCGAACAGCTCCTTCTTACGAGCTTCAACGGCGTCCATCTCGCCAGCCATGAGCTGTTTAAACTTGTCCACAAAGGCCTCCACAGTACGGTCACCAAAGTACATTTCCACGGGGGATACGTCGCCGTCCTTATAGAACAGAATGGTCGGGTATGCACGGATGAACTGCTTCATACAGAGCTGTGGGTGAGCCTGGCAGTCGACAGAGGCAACACGCAGTTGCTGTCCGTAATGCAGCGACGGTAGTGTCTTGGCTACGCGTGTCCAGACAGGCTCCAGTCGCTTGCACCACACACACCACGGGGCGTAGAAGTCCACAGCCACATAGTGGTGTTCCTTCAGGAACGGCTCGAAGGATTCCTCGTCCAAGATGGTCACGGTAGCGTCCGATTCGGGAAGATCGCCGTACTCCGTGTCCTCAGCGAATCGGGGCATCACCTGCGTCTCCTCTGCGAGACCGACCATGCGGCCCTTCTGGTCCAGACGGATCTTGAAGATGTCGGATGTCATGTTGTGCTTGCGCGTGCCTGTCATATCCGAGACGTCGACCGACGCGAACTCGCAAGGCAAGTCGGGCACTGTAATGTTAAAGTTGATGCGCATGGTCTGGTCCAGACCCTCGTCCATGACGATATCGTACTTGTAGTCCACCGTGAGGTAGCTGTTGAACTCGAGGATGAAGAGCAGGAACATGATGAAGCAACCGGCGATGGACAGACTCACGCCGGGCAGTGTGCTCACCGTCAAGTCCTGTAATTAATGCATTATAATGATAGCAACATTAGATGGCGATAAGAGCAGCAACAAAGAGAGTAGAGTGCACCTCAGGGATCTTCTTGTAGAAGTCCCACTTCTTCAGCACGTCCATGGCGCCCATGACGAAATAATCAGGTATGAGCGTATGCGGACGATAGACAAGACGCGTGCGGACACGACGAGCTGCAGCGGGGTGTGTGGAACGAGCTGTGGGCTGCACGAAGTCGCCTCAAAGTGCAGCGCTGATCCTACTGGACGCTGTCGAGCTTTTGCGGGTCTTACGTGGCGATCACAGGGGGCAGACGGATGGATCGCTTTAGACGGGGAATTTTCCAAGAGATGGGTACAGCGACGATTCAACGATCGTACTTACTGAGACGATACACGGTACGTCAGCTTCAACCACAATATTCGATTAACCGCCAATCAGAGCGTGGAATTCCATCGAACTTGTCACACGACTAACACACCATAATCGGCATCGACCTCCCCCTCCTCGACCTTCGTCTCCATGGGCTTCTGCGGCGAGTGCGGCTCTTATCTGGCCCCGGATCTACAAGGGGCCTTCTGTCCTGAATGCGGTACGTTTTTCTCTTTCCATACATGCCGGAATCGCTTCGGAAATCCCTCTACAACCTGATTAACGAGTGTATCATAATCACCGTCATGTATCTGTTCAGGTGAAGCAATTCCTGGCGCAGCGCCGGCCGCGCCAGCGCCCGCGCGTCACGTGACATTCGCTCCAACTCCGGACATGGAGAACGCTCGGCAATCACGCGAAGCGGCCGAGCGGCGCGCTCAGGACGCCAAAACGTATGCGGATGTCAGTCAACAGGAAGCAGCCAATGCGATCGCGCAGTACGAAGCTCAACAGCGCGCGCAGGTGGAGGCCCAAGCAGCACGAGACAATGAAGCCCGCTCTTTTGCAGCGGAGAATGAACGACGCGCAATTGACGCGCAGCGGGACGAGGCCGCGCGTCGTCGTGAGGAGGCAGAGCGCCAGGCTCAAGATGCTCGCGACCGCGCTGAAGCCATGAGGCTCTCGGCTCAGAACGCGATCTCGGACTACGAAGCGCAGCAACGCGCAGCCGTGGAGCGCGAGAATGCGCGTAGACAACAGGAACTCGAGACCCAGAGACAGCAGCATCTGCAGGTGGCACAGGCGGCCAAACAACGCCGTGAAGATGCCGAGAGACTGGCTCAGGAGAAGCTAGCAAGGGCCGAAAGACTGCGTGCTGAAGCACAAGCTGCGCAGGAGGAGCTGAAGAAGCAGGAAGCCAAACGTGTTGCCAAGGAGAAGCAGAGGGAGGAGGCCAGAAGACTGCGAGAGGAACAGGCTCGACGTGAAGAAAACCGACGGAAGGCCGAAGAAGAAGCGCACAAGGCATTTGAGGCTAAACGACAAGAGGAACAGCTGCGTCAAGAAGCCATGAGACTTTCTACCATGTCGGTATCGTCGACAGGCTCCGGTACGTCCACGCCAGCCCCGACGTCCAGCGCCTGTGCGAACTGCAAGGCTGCGCTTAAGCCTGCGCAGAAATTCTGTCTGCAGTGCGGCACCAAGGTCGCTGCGCCTGCTCTGACACCCAGTAACAGCTTCTCGTCGCCCGCGCTGACTCCTGCCAACAGCTTTTCGTCTGCTCCGTTGCAACGTACGAACTCTTCAGCATCCAACTCGTCGTCTTCGTCGCTTCCTGGCGGCGAGCACAGCTGTGCGTCGTGCCATTTCACACTCAAAGCGACACAAAAATTCTGTCCAAAGTGCGGTACGAAGGTCGCTGCTGCTACTGCTCCGGTTCCAGTCATGGCGCCATCGCCTACGTCTTCTGTCAGCTCAGCGTCGTCATTCTCTGCACCGGATTCAGTCCCGACAGCCCCTAGCGCTTGCTCCAAGTGCAGCCAGCCACTGAAACCCACCCAGAAGTTCTGTCTCCACTGCGGGACCAAGGTGGCACCGGCTGCCGCGACTCCCAGCTTGTCGTCCTCGTCTTCGTTCTCGTCGGGTTCCTCGTACACATCCGTGCCGCTGCCTGCGCCGATCCCAACGTCCGGATCGTGGTCCGCGCCGTCGCAGCCGGGTACCAAGAACTGCCCCACGTGCAACAAGGAATGCAAGTCCACGGCCAAATTCTGCATGGGCTGCGGCTTTAACTTTGCCAAGAGCGACGAAGAAGAAGTCGCACGTAACATGGAGGCGGCGCGTCTGCGTCAGCAGCAGATCCGCGACCGTGAGCAGCAGCAACGCAACCAGGCCTCCCTCATGGCCAACCAGGCTGCACAGGCCTACCAGCCGTCCTGGTAAGTGACTCACGATGGAAATGTTCCACGGTGTAGATAAGCAATTCAGGAGCGACCAGCAATCTCGAGAATAAATCAAAGTTCAAGCTACACGATAGTGGTCTATTCAAGCCTGTTTGGTGTCGTTGGGCTTCTGATCTTGTTGCTGTTGCTGTTGCTGCTCCTGCGCGATCTGCGTCAGGTAAATCTTGTAGTTGATGTCGTACTCGGTGTCGACCGGTTCGTCGTCTGGGTACGCGTACGCCGTGCCATCGCCATAGTAGTAATAAGCTCCCTCCTCATGGTTGTTGTCATAATACGCCTGATCTTCGTAGCCGTACGGCGCGTACTGGTCCCCATACACCTCCGTTTTCTGATTTTCTGCGTCTTTTGACTCCAGTTTCGAGCGTGGTTGAAGCGTGTAATACGAGCCGCCATTATTCAGCGGCCACGTTTCTGCAGTCGTAGTGTCTTCCAGGTTGCTGCTTTGATAGCCTGCAGGTGTCGCCCACGTGGCCTCGCCGGTTTTGACGTTGTAGAAGTACGACGTACCGACGTTTTCGTCCCAGTACTCGACCCACTCGCCGACATTCTCGCTGGTTGCGTCCTCAGGCGACGTATCCATCTCGGCTGGTCGTTCCCAGACGCTTTCGCCAGTCTCTGTGTGGTAGTAGTAGACGCATCCGCTCGCTTCGTCGAAGAGCTCGACCCACGCAGACGCCGGCGTCGTGTCATCATCAACCAGTCGAGCAAGTCTTCGCTTCGCACGGGAATACCGGAACGCCCGCTGGATCCGCACAGCCGACTGCTTTTCCAGTCGCATCCGCTTCACTGTGCGTCGACTCAAGAAACACCGAGCACAGCATTGAGCGCGCAGGCGGTGGTGACTGACAGGAGCTGTGAGACGCTCACGCACATGACGCTGGATGCACGTCGCACTCGCCGCTTCAAGCGCCACCGCATTATCACGAAGCTGTTCGCGCGCGCTCCTGGCAGCCTGGAGTTTCCGTCTGTACAACTCGATTCGAGCTTGTCGTCCTCGAACTTCAGTCTGGATGCACGTGGCTGCAGCGCGTTCACACTCGGCGATCTGCGCGGCGACGGCGCTGAGTCTGGTGCGTAATTCCTCGTTGAATCTCCGCTGCTTCTCGAGCTGCAGCGCATGTAACTCGCACCTCGCGACGTATCCGCGCCAGGCGGATTGTATACGCACCGCTGCTTTGTGCTGACGCAGGTGCCATACGCGTCGCCGTGCAAGAAACCCACGCACGTGACGCTGAATGCAGCACGCAGCGGCGTTCTGCTGTCTCCCCTGTCGTTCTTGACGGAGAATACAAGCCACACGACGTGCCAGCCACCCGCGAACGTGGCTCTGGATAACAACCGCTGCATTGTACACACGTCTCGCTTGATACCGTCGGAACGCGCGTTGGATTTTGATGGCGCTGTCACGCTCGTACTTGAGATGGAGAAGCTCACAGCGAGCTAAATATCCTCGAACTGCACGCTGTATCGTGAGTGCAGCGCCCGCTTCAAGCACCTGCTGCCGTCTGTGAGCCGCGCAGATAGCGCGCGTGATTCGACGCTGTCGGTGACGTCGGAAACACACCTGGACACGCTTTGCCGCTAATGTCTGCTGAGCTAAGCGCAGATCTGCTACCGTACATCGCTGTGCGAACCGGCGATAGTACTTTTGTATCGTCACGGCAGCAGCGTCTTCGGTGTACGCAAGCTCAATATCCTTCCTCTGATGCTGCTTACGCTCGTGAAACAGAGCATCACAAGACCGACAAAACGTCAAGCCCATCGCTGGCTTTCCGTTGCGCTTGCCAACGTTTGCAGTGAAGCCCTGGCCGTACAAGCAGGACCAACAGCTTCTGCGAACAGCGTGTTTCTCGCACAACGTACACGTACCAAACCGGAGTCGCATTTGCGTTTGAAAGGCTCGATATGCGCGTTGAGCACTCATCAGCGGCACGAGAATACGGCGATACACAGTCACATCGATGGTCTCCATAACAGCGTCACCAAGACTGGCGAATTCGTCGCTACACGCCGCGCAGAGCTCGCTCTCTGCCTCGAAATGGTAGACCGTCGCGAGTTGAGAGCGACAGCTCTCACAGGCGCCGAGACGGCGAACCACTTGACGTCGCATCAGTTCACGTCGAGCCTGTCGCGCTCGGAACATGCACTGCATCTTCGTAGCGGCTCGATTTCGTCTCGCCAGGTCTCTGATAGCGACGTATTCGCGTCGTGCTATCCACGCGCGGTACGTGGCTTGGATTCTCTTGGCTGCACGCTCCCGCTTCCGCTTAAGAATACGCTCAAGCAGATTAAGCAGCATCCAACACCCACGCCAGAAAGCCTGTATCTGTCTAATCGCCTGTGCGCATTTCTTCTTCTTCCTCAACCTGTACAGCTTCAATCGAGCGTGATGTTGACGCGTGCAGCATTGAATGGTAAGTGCAGCCTTATCCCGTCGAAACTCGTTAACCACACGACGTAACTTGCGCTGGAACATCCAGCGTCGTCCGGCGCGTTGGATTCGATTCGCCATCGCTGTCTCTAGCATCACAGTCACCGCAGCCCAGCCAAACTTCCTGGCGACATAGTTACGGTAAGCCAAGCGAATTGTCGTGGCCTTTTCGTTCTGTTCTCGTAGACGCCGAGCTTCCCAGCGACTGTAGGCTTGTTGAATCGTCCTGGCTGCCTCATCTCTCAGCTCATCTATCGAGCAATGATGTAGTCTATGAGTTGAAAGGGCCCCAAGACTACGCAGTGTGACTTTCGTTCGTGTCGAGTAGCCTCGCCAGATCTTCTGGATATCCGTGGCTGCCTTGTCGTCAATACGCCGCTGGCGCTGGCGCTGCACTCGCAGTCGAGCTAAATGTCCTCGAGTTGTACGCTGCATATCGACAGCAGCGCGTGCACGACGTTTATCCAGTCTCATGCGGTCTACTAGACGACGAGCGAGATGTCGTCTAACGTGTGTCTGCAGCTTCCGTGCTGCCAGCCATCGGCGCACTCCGTCGCGTCGTCTTCGAGCTTTGCGACGCGCTACAAACTCGCGCATCGATCGTTGGAGAACACGTGCTGCCTTGGATTCGAGACGACTACGAGCTCTCCTTCTACATGCTAACGTAAAGTGACAGCGTCGCATGAATCGCAGCAGTGTTCGAGCTGCACGATCTCGACGTATTTTATCGACCATAACTCTGTCGAGATAGCCTCGAGCCACGCGCTGTATCTCCACAGTAGCTGCAGTACGTTCGACAAGCGCACAGCCTTCAGCAGCGCGAACCCAGAGAGGCCAGGCACGCGCTAGTATCGGCATCACTAAAAACCGTCGGACAATCTTGTACGCCGCCCGTCGAATCACCTTCCGATGGTGGAATCGCAGTCTAGTTGCTAGTTTCCGTTCCATGGCTCGCACGTCGAAGCCGTCTTCATTGTTGTCGGCTTCTCGCCCGGCTAGAAGGCGCTTGATTCGTCTCCGTTTCGCTCGGACCTGGTCGGTATAAACTGGAGGCTTGGGCGACGACGGAGGACTCACCTGTTCGAGGACGCGGAAGCGGATACCACTAGCTGCTTCGCCGTACAGTATAAAACACGTACTCAATGCTTGGTGAGGATGCACGCCAAGCTGCAGGTCGTGGAAGCTCTGGGCTGCAGCATTCTGGAGGTCCCACGTCGTGCCGAAGTAGCGATGACCAGTGTTGACGTTCTCCAGTAAATATACTCCGGCATTCACTTGTCTGGCGCCATCGAGACTGAACTGGTTCGAGATGGCATTTCGTCCTCTTCGCTTCGTGAATGAAAGCTTGGGGACTTTAGTGACGCGTTTTGTGCTCCTGTTAAGGCGAATCCCTGACGTTTTCGGTAGTGGCTGCAATGGTGTAGCAGAGCGTTGGTTCGGACTTGCATGCTGTTGCTGTTGCTGTTGCAGCTTCTTGGGAGCAGATACAGGCCCCGACGGAAGCTGCACCAGTTGTGGTCGACGTGTAGCAGCCTCTTTATCCCACGAAGACACTGGCACTGCATCGATGCTCTTCAACCTGTCTAAGGTGGCAAGAGGACGAAGCAGGGAAGTGACAATGTGGCTGCGATCCATTGACAGTCAGTCGATAGGAACACACTAGGGGTAACGACCCGTTACCCCACTTATAAAAAAACACCGTGTTGAATGGGACTTTTAGCTGTCGTCGCGAGGAAAGCAGCTTTGCTTCTCTAAAATGAACGTCCTCGCGTAAGGAGAACTGTTCCTTACTTCTCCTCAGCTTCAGCCTTAACTTCAGTCTCCTCGTCCGGCTTCTCTTCATCGGGTCCGTCGTTCAGCACGTGGTAGTATTCTGGGTTGGCGTCCACACAGTCGCGCAGTGCCAGTGTCTGAGCTCCGCATTTCTCGATAAAGTCATCTCCGCTCTTTTTGCAGCGGTCCAGACAGGCTTCCCATGCCGTAAATTCCTTGCCACAGGGACCGGCCTTCATGAACTTACAGAAGCCGCACTCGGCCTTAGGGGCCTGGCATTTACCCGTGGCCACGTCGAAGCGGGACGACAGACATACAGTGCCCTGGAGTGCAAGCTGCTCGCTATGCTTGGCATCCACTTTGACGATCTTCGCCTCCACAGCTGGGAACGGGCTGAACAGCGGCAGGTGCTTGGACTCAAACGCTGGCAGTTCTCCAGTCCATTCGTTCGTATCTTCCTCGTCGTCTAGCAGATAGCGCAGCTTATCACTGGCACGCAGACGCTCGAGCAGCACGCTTGAGTAACCCGCGCTTAGCCCGCCGGCTGACGTCGACAGTGTCGCGTGTGCAGGCTCCGCGGCGCCCTCGTACTCTAGAGACTCGCCTGTCTCCGTCGTCACTGCCACGAGCACCTGAATACGTCCCAATAGATCCACAAATTTAGTCAAGGCGCGTCTAATTAACGTATTGCCGAGCCTTAGATACTTACAGTCTGTGCATGGTCGTCCTCGGCCAGTCCCTTGACGTGCAGCTTGGCAGCGCGGCCCAAAATGGGTGCAAATGCCTCCTGTTCCTCAACTGTGGGCTGGAAACGCAGCACCACCACGAGCGGCTCGTCAGCGCTGCCAAATTTGGCTGGGAACTGCTTGCGCAGCCGTGCGGCCGACTCCTTCTCTACAAACACGCCGACGAAGTCCACGGCGGGATGCAAAGGCGGAGTGGCTTCAGGCTCAGGTTCAGCGGCTTCTAGATGAGCAGAAGACACGGATAGAAGAGCGGTGGGCGCTGCCAGAAACGGCAGCAGGCGGCGCGTGCGCAAGAACGTCGTTGACATGGTGTCCAGGATGAGCAATGACCGCCACAGGTCGAACAGCTATTTTATGGTGTGACGTACACAATGTAGATGCAATCATTGAGATGCGAAGCTGATGCAATCATTCTGTGTGAGTCTGCACCCTGTCGCAGAAATGATGACGCATGATCAAAAGGCATCGGTCCAGAGAACATGTCTTCAACCAATTCCTACAGAACAATTTAATATAGAGGGTAAAATTGATACAAACAATTGATTCATCGAGTACAATAATATATATATATATATTCGGTAACACAGGTTTGCGGGCTTCTGTGCATGGAAATGAAACTGAAGTTGAAGCGAAAAGCGACTTATGGGGCTGACGACCAGGTCTCCGCACTTGAGCGTGTTGCCTCAGATGGGAAACGCTCTGACTCGTTCCGATGCTTCATGCCGACTGCGGCGACTGCGTCGGAGCTCGTCGATGACCGAGTTGCCTCTAAACTACCACCCGGCCCATCGCTTCTCGACAGAACATCGTCCTCTCCCCGTCCCGAAGAATTTGGCTCGCAATCTGTCAAACGAAGCGAAGCGTCTTCAGATCAGTCCAGCGAGCGTACGTCAGACCTCACAACCGAAATTCTTCATTGAGAGAAAAGGAAACTCCCGCCAGCTCAGACTAAGAACAACCAGTAACCTGTAACCATGCGAGCACCAACTAACAACCCGAGGATCTCCCCGCAATGCGCCACCATGAGCACCGCCACGTGCACGACCAGCACCAGCGGCAGTCACCACGACAGCAGCATCTACGCGCGTGCGTGGCGGTTCGTGCAGCGTCGGCTGCATCTCCGTCCACGAGCATGTTCGTGTCCTGCAGACATGGAGAACCGAGCGACTACGAAGACAGTAGAGACGCCAGAGGCTTCAAGTGTCGCGACCAATAGCAACAGCTACTGCTGTGACTGGCAGCGCGTATACATGCTCAAGGAACTCGAGGAAGCTGGCGCTCGAGCACAATGGCGACGACAGCGACAGTACCAGGAATGCATCAAGGAGACGGCAGAGTGGACACCCACAGACATTCCGGCGTTCAGGACTCAAGCCCAGCGCAAGACCGCGCAGGTGACGTGCCATAACTGCGGGCTGCTGTTCTTCCGCCCGCTGTCTGTAGCGTCGGACACAAGCGCGTTCTGCGGTCGCGACTGCCAGAGCACATACGAATACCGTCGAGATCTACAAGACACTGTGAACGCGTGCGAGACGTTCCAGTCCACAGCCAACTGGACACGGAGCAGCGAGCTGTAGCAGACACAAGAGACATACGACACTTTGATCCAGTGTAGTGTAGAACCGATTATTTATTCCATGCAGAAGAAGTAAAGCGCATTAAGAACAGTTGATATACAAGCAAACTGTTGCCTCTACACAGTCAACGACTCGAAGTGCAGTCGGTCATCCTGCAGTGAGATGGCCGTAGGTTTGTGCAGCTGCAGCGATCCAGTCTCATCCTGCCCCAAGTCGTCACACGTCGTGAAGCAGTGGGCGATGGAAATGAGTTCAGCGTCGAAACTCTGGCAGACAATACGCGCACGCACATTGCCGCCGATACCAGCGAGTGCGCGGCCTTTAAGCGCACCGAGCACCACCACATCGTCGTCTGCCATCACCTCAGCGCCAGAGCTCACGTTGCCCAGCACTACAAGCGACCTGTTCTGCGCGAAAATCTGCTGTCCAGAGCGCACCGAGTGGCTCACTACCATGGGCGGGAGTGACTCCGCTGATGTCTGCGCAGCAACAGAAACTCCGGATTTTTCTTCTTCAACGAAAGTGTTGTTGGAAGTGGTAGGAACCTCATCTGCCTTCTCTTCCACTGTAGCCACTACAGCCTTCTGCTGTGAGTGCAGTCTTGTACCAATGAAATAAGGCAGATTCAACGCTGCAGCAGCCTTCTTGACGTCTTCACTGGCGTTGGTGATACCCACCGGCATGTAACCAGCTTCCTAATATTTAAAAAATGTTTAGCATGTATTTTAGTGACTAAAACTTGTTAAATGAATGTGTTTTACCTGTAGTTGCATAATTTCGTTCCTCAGTTCATGTTTCTTGATTGACTGCGAGTGCGGTGAACCTAAGAAAATAATGATAAATTAATAAAATAGCATGCATAAGAAGAAAAAAAAGCATACCGTCACTGGAGACTTGCTGCAGATCTAGAACCACGGGTGTGGATCTGTTGGCTCGAGCCTGGAACAACTGCGAGTCCTTGGCCTCTTTGGATGATACTTTGGACAGCGTCAGAGTGGGTAGAAGATACGAGCGACCATCCAGCTCCAGCGCCTTGGAAGTCGAGGGCTTCACTGTGGACGCTCGTCGGCCGTTGGAGACCTCCTCCAAGCGCCGTAGAGCCTGCTGCGAGAAGGCCCTGCGCCGCATAGTGAGCACTGCTCCCTGCATGGTGATTCTGGATACAAAGCGCAAGTGAATAGTTTACCCTGCAAACTCTCTACCAGCGCTTGGGTGATGTGGAGAACACCATGTCGCGATTACGTACGAATATGTGTTTTGCAAAGTATACCTGGAATGGAAAAGTATACGTTGAGGGAGGTATTGTATACTTGGTTGCGCGTTTTTCGCTTTCAGTAAATTGCCTACGCAACATGGCGTCGTTACCCGATGCGTCAGCGGCGTCTGCACAGCTCCAGAGCAATTCTCACGCGACAGT